CTGTTCCCATCCCCCCAATTCCCCAATAAAAATATTAAAAAAAAAAAAGAATTGGGAAAACTTCAGTGGGAAGAGTATAACTGAGGAAACTAGAGAGCCAACAAAGCATGGGGTAAGAGGGTGCAGGGTTGAGAGTGGGGCAGACATTCATTTTATAAAGAGATTTACGTAACCCAAAATCTGCTAAGGAGTTTCCAAGGAGAGAGAGGATAGAACACAATCCTGTCCCAGGGACCCTTCATAACAGAACATAATCGCACTGTGACTGATGCCACATGTACCTTTTACACCAGGCACAGGTCCATCATACCCTGTAGCCTGTGGACAGTTCACACAAAAGTATTGTATACAGTAAGCACTTACCAGCCCATGGAAGTGCTTATTAGTATTATGTTACTATTACATAATAATTCATGCATATGCAGATGAGGATGTGAGTTATTAAAGATGAATATAGAACACCAAAAGTGACTGAAGCAAGGGCATGAGAACAGCAAAAGCCAGCGCTCCCTGGGGCAAGCACACTAATTTCTTGGTAATTTAACTCCTGACAGTTAAAAGGTAAAGGTTACATGTAGAGAAATAAGAGGCAAACAAAAGGAGGCAGCCAGTTTGTGAGAAGTAAAACCAAAACCATATTACAGAAGGCGGCCTGGCCTCTGAAATTCTCAAGGCCTTCCTGAGACTTCCTATACACAGAAACACAAATGACCAGCCTAGGACTCCACAGACTCCTGGTAGGTCATACTGCAAACAGACACACACAGGTGCCATCATGAGATGACAATCAGGTCATAGGAAGGCCACTAAAAAATAACAGACTTGAAGAAAAAAGGAGATTAAACAAAAACAAACAAACAAAAAGAAACTATATAAAGATGAAGCTGCCAAAAGCATCAGACTCCTAAGTCCCTATCTCCACATATCTTTTTTTTTTTTTAGATTTTATTGGGGAACTGGGGGAGGGGAACAGCGTTGGGAAATTGGGGGAAGGGGAACAGACAAGTTGCTGTCCTTTTCTTCTTCAGTCTAGTTGTGAAGGACATCGCTTTACTGGCCCATGTTGGTATTGTGATCATTGCGCTCTTCCTGGGTGAGGCAGATCGGTCACCAGCCACTGGACAGCCACTCACAGCGGCTCTTGGCAGCTCACACCAGCTGCCGGCCGCTCACACTGGCTGCCAGCCACTCACGGTAGCTTATGGCAACCCATTACAGCAGGGGCTGCAGCCTACACCATCGCCAGCAACTCATGACAGCCCAACTCCAGGTCGAGCTGTTGTTCACCATCTTAGCTGTAGAGGGCGCAGCGTCACTGACCCTAATGTGGGATCTGAACCAGGGCCCTGTTGCTCAGAGCCAGCGTCCCAAGCCAAATCCTAACCAACGTGCCACTCGGCTGGCCCTCCATATATCTTCTTATGCAAGAGCTTGACCTGTCTTATACATGGGCAAAAAAAAAAACCAGCAGAAAATGAGTGTGTGTGACCCATAAATCAGTGTGAATAAGGAAGCAAACTATTTTGGTGGCCATTAACATTCAGTGGTCACATCAATTACATTTATGTTAACTCTTCTTGATCTTGGAATAATCGCTTCACATTTAACACAAGGGAAAAGATCTCTTCTTCAACCATAAAAAATGTGTGTGGAGGCCTTATTAAGCAATTAAGACAGGTAGGCAAATAAACACCCTCATGAAGCAGCACAATTAGCACCAAGAGATGTGCTACGTGGTAGAATGTAAGCCCCTTAACAGAAAATGAGGAAGTAAAAGGCTTATACTATAAAAACAAAATAACAATTGCCTTATAGTGAAGGCCCAGTAAAAAGGACACATGATAAGCTTGATAATGTTACACCCCTTATCACTGGCAGGTGCTTTATAAGCATTTTCACAGAACCTATTATGTTAATTATAATTATACTTATGTATATTGTTATTTCATATTCACTTAACCTTATGAAAAGCAGAGGACACCTGTGGTTGTTCCTAGTTAACAAATGAAAAAGGTGAGGCTTATGGGCCGGCCGAGTGGCGCGATGGTTAAGAACTGGCTTGGGACGCCAAAGGGCCCCAGTTCGGATCCCACATATGAGGGCCAGTGACACTGCCCTCCACAGCTAAGATGCTGAACAACAGCTCAACCTGGAGCTGAGCTGCTGTGAGTC